AGAGGATTAGATCTTGGGGATCATCAACGTGTAAAAGATAAGCTGTAGACAAGCATGCTGACAAGGAGCAGAAGATAAAAGGGAAACCAGAAAGGTGATCTCAGGAAGCCAAGATGGGGTAGGGAGAGAATATGATTAGCTTAACAACAAATGCTAGGAAGCCAGAAAAAAAGTGATAAAGAATGATAAGGAAAGGAGATTATCCATCACATTTGAGAATTTGAATGCAAATGTTAACCTTAGGAAAGCAGTTTCAGTGGAATGACGGGCTGGAGTGGGATTGGCTGGAGATGAAAGTGAGCCAGGTTAGGGTGGATCAGATTGGAGACTCACCCTGGGGAAGTATGGACAGGGAAGGCCTACACTATTCCACAGAGTTTAGCTTTGAATGGGGAGCAAGATGGTAAGAGAGAGGGCAGGAATTACAGGGATGGGGATGTCCCAAAAGTCCATTTTCTTAAACCAGGAGCTGGGTGACACGTCAGGAGAGTAAAAATGCATGCTTATGTGCCCAGGAAATGAGAGAGACAGAGAGACAGACAGGGGAATTGTTTAGGGACAGGAGGAAAAGTGATTAGGTGAGGCCCAGCAATATTTCTTATTCTGGTTTCTTCACCATTCTTAGAGTGACTATCCCTAAGACACAAATTTTAGGAAGATGAATTTAATTGCATAGAGAACACTTCTCCTGCATTTTGTACTCCCTGCCATAGTCTGTCAGATGTAGCAGACATCTCTACAATATTTTAGTTCATTAAATCATTCTTCTGATCAATAATCAACATCACTCCATCGCTTACAGGGAATAAAAATAGAAGGCTATTCCAGGCCTTTAGGAATCTAGCTAAAATCATCATCTCCAGCCAAGCTGCTGTGTTGGCCTGCACACAAACATGACTTGTGCTGCCTTTGCCCTGTTCCTGTGTCCCTTCTTTATGGATAAGGAGACTGAGAATAAAAGTCCAACTTCTCACGGCCTACGAGGTCCACTGGATCAGCCTACTGCCTGCCACCAATTGCACGAGCGACTGCCCCCACCCCCTTCCTTGGACCAGGGAAGGCTCTGCTGCCTCCATTCATCTGGGCTGTACTTCCCGGAATGCTTCCTTCCACTGAGCAGGCTGGTTCTCCGCTCACAGCTCTCAGCTCGAATGTTACTCCATCTCACCTGATGAAATGAAATCTTACAGCCTGTTAGGAAAAATCGTAATACATTTATTTCCTTCAAATCACCCAGAACAACTTTTACTTATTGGACTCATTTTTGTTCATCATTTTTTCCCCTTCTTCAACAAAATGGAAGCTCCATGAAGGCTGGAACCCCATCTGTCTTATCTCCTTCTTTTTATTTATTTATTTATTTATTTATTTTTTAAATTTTGGTACCTGGGATGGAACTCGGGACCTTGCACTTGCAAGGCAGGTGCTGGAACCACTGAGCTATATCCCAGCCCAATGTCTTATCTCCTTCTTATTCCCCATGTCTAGTACAGTGCTTGACAAGGGTTTTTAAAGTATGCTTCATGAATGAATGAATTTATTTCTTCAAAATCCAGCTTAAATCCCACCTCCATACAAACATGCCTTGACATAACAGCTTCCTATGTGTTAAGTGCTTATTTTGTCCCAGCAATTACTTATGCTGTATTAGCTCATTTAAGGAGGCCCCTCTATTTACCTGACAAAGCTCACACAGTAGCTGTAATCCAGGCCACACACTGTGAAGTCGAAAGTTATCCTGTTGCTTGTTATTTAATATCTACCACATGCAACACTTTTTTGGTTCCAAGGAAATGAGAGAGCTTTCCCATAGCTTAGAGAGAACTCAAGGCATGCCAAGTAGCCAAAGGTCCCCTTAATGTGATAGCATAATGAGAATGTTGACTCGCTGTCTGTGTTACATCAAAGATAAACATAGCTGAACATTAGATATAGCAGTGAAAACATTTTATTCAGTAATTATTGATGGTAGGGGAAAGACTCTAGGTGTTATGGCTTATATCTAGATCCTCCCCTGCCAAAGTTTCCTGAGCTCAGTCAGGGCTTTTGAAAGGTAATTAGATTATGGGGGCTTATAGCTGACTCGCTGATAGGGAGTTGGGTTTGGTCAGAAGAGTCAGGTTGGTGGGGGCCTGACCTGGAAGGGTTATCTCCCTCCCTAGCTCCTCCCTTGGTTGTTTCTGTTTCCTGTCCACCACACTGCGAGCAGCTCTCTTCCACCATGCCCCTGTGCCATGATGTCCTGCCTTGTGGCCAGCCAAGTATGGACTGAAAGGAAAGCCAAGATAAACCTCTCCTCCCTTTAAGTTTTGGGCATCAGGTATTTGGTTATTTTGTCCAGCAATTAGAAAGTAACTAAGACATGAGGTAACTGGAACTTTTTTTTTTTTTTTAGAGAAAATGGGAATGAGAGGAGAGGATGGCAAGGGACCTTGATTCCAGTCAGGAAAGTAAAAAATGACAGAAGTGGCAGAGGGGGTCGGTGTATGTGAAATACACCCAGGTTTGCTACCTAGCACTTCTGGAAATCAGACTCCTCCCCTCCCACAGAGTCTGGGAGGCAGGCCCCTGTGTGCAGGTGGACAGGGATGAATAGCCAATTCTTTTGTCAGCCTGGAGTTTCCTCAGACAGGCATTTTAAGGGGGGCTAGGATGAGCCCTTGAGCTGTCAGAAAGTATGTTAGCATTTGTTCAAATTTTTATAGGCCAAGGTTGAGGGCTAGAATAAAAGAGGCTCTCAGAGGAGCACGGTTAGCATTTGGTCGAGGAAGGAGTTTTCGTCAATTATAAACATTGAACAGAATGTCTAACCTGACTTGCAAGTGGACAAGCTCCATTCCACCTGTAAAGATGTCAAAAAAACTTACAGCAAGATAGTCTGAGCTTTGAGGCGTGAGAGCAAGGTATGCACCTTGATTCCCCCTTTTCCAGAAGCATTTGCTAAAATCTTAACTTTCTAGAAAGGATTGTCTATTCTGTCAAAAAGAAAAAGTCTATGAAACCAAGTTACTTCACAATGAGAAGCCACAAAGAAGGGTTCCTAGTGTGGTGTGTTAACTGTTGGGTTTTGGTTTGTTTGTTTTGTTTTTTGGTACTGGGTATCGAACTCAGGTCCTTGCGCTTGCAAGACAGGCAGCGGAACCACTGAGCTAAATACCCGGCCCTGCTGGGCTTTGGAATATCAGCTTTGCAGTGCTGTGGAGTCCCAGCTGGAGCCGCAGCATTGCTGATTTCCCTGAGCAATGTCCAGGCCAGGCAGCAGGTTGTGAACTCTGAAGTCTATAGTGCTGGAAACGGAAGGGATAAGGACTTCTCAGACTCTTCCAGATGCTTCTGCAACCTGGGAATTCTGCCCCACTTCTTACGTTACATGCCAGTTACAATCTATTCCTTCAAGTTTGGGGCTCAGATCCGAAGGAGCACCCCTAGATTCCAAAGAGTCCTCCATTCGTTGTAAAAATACAACATTAGGGGCAGTCTTCTCTCCAGACAGCACTGCGTGTGGCCCGCCCCGGACTGGTAGTAAGCTGGAAGTCCCCAAGGGCTCTTATTTCCACCATTCTACCCCGAGAGTCTTTTAAGAGTCACTCCTGAAGTCAACTCAGCCTCTGAATACACGGACCAGCGATTTTCTTCTTGGGTTCCACCCTTTCGGGAATGTGTGCAGTCAGGAAAATGCCACCCAACCTGTCTCTCCCTGCCTGACAGACCAGCTGGGAGCACCTGTCCTACTGGGTGTGTTTCCTTCCGGACAGCCTCCCTTCTATTAAAGAGGGTGTCTTCTCTTAATTAGATCTTAAACTCCACATACTCAACTCTTCATTGAGGTAGAATCTGGGTGAGGCTGCATTTTACCGAGGACTCTGTTTTTTGCTTCTTCAGTGGCCAGGAAGGTAATTGAACGCCATGGTTCTAATGACACATTTTCCATTCCAGTTGCCTGAAGCTCTGTCTCTGATAAATAGTTTAGCAAGTGCCTCTTTGGCAGCCACCTGCCTCCCAGGACCGGGCTGCTGGGGTAACCTGCACTCCTCTCATCATGTCAGAGACCCTATAAATTAGGGAGAACTCTCGCCACCTCTAGTTACGGCAAGGGAGCACGACTAGCACAGCACTGCAGACTATGGACGGAGAAGGAGTCAAAATGTATTGCTGTGATCTTGCGGGGCTGGCTCAGGCACAGACAAGGCCTCACGTCCACTCAGGGGCTCAAATTTAGACACTGAAATTATCTCCAAATGAGCCTGCAGAGTCCCAACGCGTGTAGGTCAGCGGATCCTTTAACCGCAGTGAATAAACACATAAAAAAATCCACAATGTGAGCCTGCTTTGGGCTCTGCCTTCTTTTGTTGTTCGTCGCATACATCAGGAACCAAAACAAAAATTCTGATCCTGTCCCACTATCTTTTGGGGGGGGCGGGGGGGACTGGGCATTGAACTCGGGTCCTTGTGCTTGTAAGGCAGGCAGCAGAACCACTGAGCTAAATCCCCAGCCCCTATCCCACTAGCTTGAGGACTCCGTCACTACCGAGGGGTGGTGGGAAAGCGCCACGTGGAAGGCTGGGTTTGGGTGGCAGGACACGAGAAGCAGAGCCCCGCCCCCGGGAGAGGCCCTCCGCGGGGGGCGGGGCTTCAGCATCCGGGTCAGTGACGTCACTCGGCCCCGCCCACCGGAAAGCGTAGGGCGGTGCCGCGGCGGCGGGGGAGGGATGGGCCGGGGATTCGGGGTGGGCGTGGTCGCTGCCGGAGGGGGCGGGGCGCGGCGAGGCGCGGCGGCCGGAAGCTGGGAAGCAGCGGGCAGAGCAGGGTCTGTCACGGGCTGGAGGTGTCGGTTCCTTAGCGGGGCAGGACGCGGGCGCGGTGGGAGGGGCTGCCAGCCGGTCCCTGTATTTCCTCTTTCCTTGTTGCGCGCGCGGCTCATCCCCGAGGTGCAAAGCCGGAAACCAATAGGCCCCCACTGTGCCCCAGCTTGACCTGTGGCCGCGAGGGCGCCGGTGACTTCCGGGACCCGCTCAGGAAAGCGGTTCAGGGTGCTCCGGGGTGAAAAGTCCTTTGGCTGTGTCGAGGCTGGCACTTCCGGGGAAGTCACCCCCACTAAACATCCACCATCCTGATTTTTGTGTCTCACACAGGTCCCTGACTAAGTGAAGCGGAGCCTTTAGGGTTAGCTAAAGTGGATGCCACAGTGCAGCCTCTTGATGCAGCCTGGATCTAGCCGGTGTGATGAGACTCCTTCCCTCCTGTGGGGTTTGGATCCTGTGTTTGTAGCCTTTGCGAAACTCTACATCAGGGATATCCTGGCCATGAAGGAATCCCACCAAGTTCCAGGTACGTGGCCGGGCAGCCTGGTCGGTCACCTGTGCTGCTCCGCACCCCCTGCCTGCCCGCCCCGCCCCGGGGCCATCAGGAGGCCTTCCCTGCTGTGGGCCTTGCAGAGGAAGGTTTTTACTAGTGTTTAAGTCTTGCAGATGGAAAAACCCTCAGTTGTTTTTCTAGGTCTCTTGGAAAGATCTCTGGACGGGGCATTCCTCGCCCTCATTGTGCCCTTTACCCTCTCTGGATCAGGTGGCTCACTTCTAGAGCTTAGGTTTCTCTAACGGGCTTTAACCATGCCTGATCTTGTGAGGATTTCTTTTTTGCTGATTTAGAATCCAAATAATACGAGCTCCCTGGGAGAAAGGACCTGGGCTGTCCTGTTCACCTGTGTGACCGCAGCACCTTCAAGAGCACTTGGCATGTCGTGGTTGGGCCCTCAGGAAACAGCCACAGGAGCAGCTTGGTGGTACAGAGCTGATAGATACCCCAATGTGTTCAGGGTAGCTCGAGGCAGTGAGAGCACCAGTTTCAGGCCAGGCTGGGCTACATAGTGAGACCTTATCTCAAAAAGCCAAAAAAGAAACAGCAATTGAAAGAACAAGCCATTATACATTTAAAGTTAAATAAAATCTTTTTTAGCGGGGGCATAGTGGCGTACGCCTGAGATCCCAATAATCCCAGCACTCTGGAAGGCTGAGGCACGAGGGTCACTTGTAGTTCAAGACCAGCCTAGGCTACACAGTGAATTCAAGGCCAGTCTGAACTACATAGCGAGACCCTGTCTCAAAAAAAAAAAGCCTTTTTTATTAAAGTAGTAGTTACTGAAGGCACCTAAAAGATATGCCCAAAAGTACAACAAATGTAATTTGGGGTAGATTGGAATAATTCAAGTAGCCGTGGATAGCTCTTCACGTGTTTACTGTGCTATATAAGAGATAAGAGGTGTTTGCTTAAATTCTTTACTCTGAGGGTAGCTTTCTGGCCGTGAGCCTTCCGAATACCAAGCTGTGTGTGAGTCAGAAGTAGGATCTCAAGTACCCACAGCTGTACTCAGGTGAGGTTTCGTGTGGTTCCAGTTACATACAAATATATTTGGGTGACCTTACACTGAAGCCTTTTGTACAGATTTTTCACCACACCTTCATTTCCTCATTATTGTTGGACGTGGTCTGTTTTTTTCCTTGGAAGGCAGCCAGCCTCCCCCAGTTTTCCATTTTCCACAACAATCTGGTATTCTTCATAGCTCATCTCCTCAGGAAGAAATTAATTCACACCAAATGCTTAAAGATCCGTGGGTGAACAAGCAAGTGTCAGGGCTTAACTCTTCCTGGGGCAGAGGGTGTTATGATGTGCTAAAACAAACCAGTGAAAACTAGTGTTGGTGCTCTTCTCTCTTCTTTTTTTTTTTTGAAGGAAACCTTATGATTGATGTAGATATCAACCATAATTTTAGTGATTTTCTTCAGACTATATTCTAGGGATCAGAGGAGTAGGGAACACCACTTGTCTAGGTTTTTGTTTTGTTGGTTTGGTTTACCATAAAGAGGAAACTTGTAGCTGGACATGATAGTGAATGTCTATAATTCCAGCTATTTAAGAAGCTGAGGCAGGAGGATTGCAAATTTGAGGCCAGCCTGGGCCATTTAGTAAGATCCTATCTCAGAATTTTTCAAAGGGCCAGTGATGTAGCTCAGTGGTAGAGCGCCTCAGGTTCAATCCCTGCACACGTGCCACACACAAAGGAAACTTGTGACTACATAAAATTTAGAAATGTTTAAACAACAATCACACAAAAAAATCCTAAAACCATAAAGATTAGCCAAAAAAATGACGAAACATGAATCCAGTGTTTGCTATGATAAAGAATTTGCCTGACATTGTCCTCGGTCCTGGGAGGTGTGACCTCTGAACCCTTGCAATTTCCCGAGGGGTAGGAGTGTCTCTGTTGTGACAGCTCACCACTGAAGCCGTAATTAGTCCATGCTCCTAAGGTGCCTTGTATGGACCCCTCAGTTTCAGATAGGAACTGCCCACACTGAAGGTCAGCCTTCCTATTGGTTGGGATTTGGGCCCAAGTCTGAATCAGTGTGAACCCTTGGAGATTCAGGGAGTTCATTCATACAGCCGTGAGTCAATCATGCCTACATTAGGAAACCCCAATAAAAACTGGGCAGGGAGGCCGGGTGAGTTCCTCATCGGTCGGAGGATGATGTGTCTGAGGACATGGAGCTTCACATTTGGATGCCCCAGACCTTGCCTTATGCCGTCTCTTCCTTTAGCGCACAGGTCCCGATCTGTTCCCTCCATCACAGAACTACAAGTATAGCACCATGTGTTCTAGCAGATTGTTACACCTGAGGGAGTCATGGCAACCCCACATTGACAGCCAGTTGGTCAAAAGTGAAGGTTGCCTGAGGATCCCCACAAAAATTGGGGCTAGTAACTGAGGTGAGGGCACTTCCGTGGGGGATTGTGCCTTATACCTATGCAATTTAAGCGGGAATTTAGCATTAGAATTGCACTGGGAGATGACTGCAAAAATGTCATGTCCCGGCCGGGGATTTAGCTCAGTGGTTTCACCGCCTGCTGTGCAGGTGCAAGGACCCGAGTTCGATCTCCAGGACCAAAAAAAAAAAGTCATGTCCCTAAACATGAATTTAGGGTTTAACTAATAAAAATTTTTTCAGGTTTGACTGTAGGGGTGATGATATTTATGTTATTTACAGGTTTTGCTTTTTGTATTAAAAAAAACCAATAATTCATAAAACACAGAAGTGGTCTTTGTTTTAAAGGTCTTCACATGTTACATTTTGATTTAAAAATATCTCTGTGTTTGGAAACGAACTATCTTGTTTTGCCCAGCTCTTACATCGCAAACAGCACAGAAATCTGTGACCCCAGAAGGTATAAGGTGGTCTCCCCCACCAGCAAGGAAGCAGTCAGTTCTGCAGTGGATTCCAACTGGGCGTCCTCTAATCCAGGTCAGTTTTGACACCGTCTACCTGGAGATGGTGTCAGGTCCCACAGGTTGAGGGCTTTTCCCAAGACGCCACTTCTGATGCCAGTTGGAAGCCCTGGGTTGTTTTCACTGTGCTTCTGACTGTCTGGTGGTAAATCAGGGTTCCCGCAAATGGGCAGCTGATGTGACTGAAGGAAACATGTTTACCAGTTTATCTCGGAGGGCATTACAGAGGCTACTGATAGACAGATGGCTAGGAAGCTGAGGGAGAAGTGGCGCCGAGCCACCATGCCCTCCCCAGGTGTGTCCTGCCCTCCTGGAAGCTCTCAACCCCACCTTTTGGGGTTTACGGAGACTTCATTGCATGGTCATGATGGAAGTATGGACAGCTGTGTTGAAATATAGTTGGACAAAATGCCTGGGATCCACTGCTAAGAAACTGAAGATAACCCAGCAAGCAAGACCTGCCTGTCCAGATTCTCCCATCCAAGTACTAACCAGGCCTGACTCTGCTTAGCTTCCGAGGTCAGACGAGATCAGGCGTGTTCAGGGTGTTATGGCCATAGACTGTCTGCCTGTCCACATTCTTCGTGGCCTCTTTGAAGTGTTCCTTCTCCCGGGTGTGGGGCAGGAGGACCCCTCTGGAATGAGGAAGGTCTTATGGCCTACTCTTGAGCAGGATAGGTCCAAGAGTTTCTTTGTGGCCACCTAAAGGTAGCAGAATTAGTTTCTATACCTGCATTGAGGAGAGTTATAAGCCAGGAACCATCGAAGAAAACTAAAAAATTTACGTCCTGATACCACAATAACTATCTCATATTCTTAGACCAGTGTACAATCCTTACACTCTCTTCCTACCAAATACAGTGAAGTAGATGTACCATACAGCTCGCCTTCCATATCCATACGTTCCTTGTCCACAGGCACAACCAATCTTGGTCAGTAATATTTGGGGAAAAGTTTGTGTCTGTACTGAGTATGTACAGCCTTTTTCTTCTTATTCCCTAAACAGTATAGTACAGTAACTACTTACAGAGCATTTGTATTGTATGAGTGTTATAAGTAATGATTTAAAGTATTGCCGGGCATGGGTAGGTTATGTGCAAATAATAATGGCTATTTTCTATAAGGACTTGAGCATCCTCAGATTTTTATATCAACAGAAGGTTCTGGAACCAATCCCCCATGAACATCCGGGATGACTGTCTTCATAAGAATTGTATTAATAATGATCTATGTTTGAAAATACTGTCTTAGGCATTTTTTTGCTATCAAATTTCAATGAGAGCAATTATAGCATCAGTAAAATAATAGCAACTAAACTGGAAAGGAGAGCCGTCAAAAGTACTGTACTTTTAAAGAGAGATAACAGGCAGATGTCTTGCTGTGGTTGTGGGTGTTCAAGGTCAGCTGTTTAAAGCTGCCTGTGAGCCTGGGCCCTGATCCCTCGCAGCGGTGCCCCCTCCTCCTGGGGGCCTGGGGGTCTGAGGATCCCCTGGTACATACAGGCCTCTGTGGGCTACGTGGGAACAGCAGGAGCAGAGGCCCCTTGGGAAAGGCTGCCACATGAACTTGCTAGTACTTGTCTATGGTGATCATTTTCTTTTTAGTGTATTTTTACTGGTAGCACATATAACCTATCTTGGTGATCACTGTCTTTTCTTACTTAGCCTGTGTACCTTTCTCTGGATCCATAGCACTTCTGTCCAACTCCCTGGAGCTCTCTTCTCAAAGGAAAAAGCTCACTCTGATGGAAGGAAGTGGTTGCTAATTCTTCTCCATATCTTCTTCGGCTGTCCTTTTGTAGACACTGAGAATCTCACTCGCTCCGTGCTTGTTTCCATGTACTGTGAAACATTTCTGCTGCATTTGTAAGTAATGCATTTCCTCCTCCATCAGTTTCCATGGAGATTTCACATTCACACCCTGTGTTAATTTTCTGCTGCAGTTGTCTTCTCTTGCTTAGTGATGCATTTAAGATGTTGTGTCTTGGGATTGGAAGGATTTCCTTGTGTCCTTGAGTGACCATGTCTGCCCTCGAAGGCAAACTGTGGAGTGGAAGTTTATAGGACTCAAGTGAGTCCTTTTTCTAAGGAAGTTTCCTGTGTCCTCAATTGAATACCTGTTCATTGTTTGTTTGTATTTATTTGTTGTTTGTTTGAGACAGGGTCTCACTGTGTGGTCTAGGCTGGTCTTAACTCACTACATAGTCCAGGCTGGCCTCAAACTTGTGGCGATCCTCCTGCCTCAGGCTCCTGAGTGCTGGGATTATAGGCATGGGCCACCATGTCCAGCTATTGTTTTCATTTCTGCAAGGTACAGAGTTTGTAGGTGACTTGGAGATGTCACTGCCTGTACTGTTAGTCCAGTCTTCTCTCCCACTGCCTTCTCCAAAAATCTCAGCCCAGGCAGAGCACCTGTGGGCCAGCTGTTCTTCCATCTTAAAGGCCTTAGAAGTTCATATGTTTTCTGTGGATTCCCATTTAGGCCCAGTTCCTGGATGGGGGCGACTCTCTTTTTGGGGGTGACATAGTGACCCCTGTCCCTGCCCTTCCGTGGCCTTTCCATATTCAGCTCATGGCCCCTGGTTGCGCAGAGTCCTCTTGAGAAGCGTGGTTCCACACAGTGCCAAGGCCTGATTGGTGTGCTTCCTTTCCTCCCGCCGTCTCACTCTCCCTGTCTGCCCGGCAGACTGAGGCTCAGGGCTCCCTTGTCCGCACCTGGGACTGTGGTGAGCAACTCATCCCCAGCCCTCCTGTCCTCAGGCGGAACAAGAGAATCATCCACAGCGGCCAGCCTGGGCATTCAGGGCGCGGGTTCCCCGTGGCTTGGAGTGTGGAGGCTCTGAGCAGGCTCTGACTGATGAGGAAAGGAGGTAGGCAAGTGCCCGAAGCGATCATGGCCTCTGTTTATGACCCACGTGGCCATTCAGAAGTGTGTACCTGCGCAGGAAGCGTCTGGCCATCGCTGGAGCAGGGAGGCTGGAGGGGGCGTTAGGGTACCTTGGGGCAGGTGACAGGACAGGGCTGTGGCACTGTCACGTAAGTGGAAGCAAGGGAGCTCAATTGAGGAGGGCAGGGGCAGGTGGCTCTGCAGGGGCCGGAGTCAGACTCAGACTCGGCTCCCAGAGTCCCTCCACTTGGGTCCCATCCCTAGGCCAGAAAAATTCTTCGGTGTCAGTAGCAGGCTCCCTCTCAGATTTCTCCTGTAGCAGGGACTTGCCTCCCAGAGCCTCTACTCTGAGTTTTGAAGATAGAGGGGGTTTTGTTTGTTTGGTTTTAGTGTTTTGTTTTGAGACAGAGTACTGTGTAGCTCAGGCTGGCCTCGAACTCATGGAGAGCCTCCTGTCTCAGTTTCCTGAGTGCTGGGATTGCAGGCCTATGTCACCTTGCCCATTTGAAAACAGAGCTTTTAAAAAAGAAGTTTTTGTCTTGTAATCTGCCAGCCCCAAGGGGTAGCATTTTGCGAACTATATATCATATCATTGTTATATCTATATAACAAAGAAAAGGGGACGGGGCTTTCACCAGTTCATAGAAATGATGACTCGCTACTTAGGAAAGCACTGTTAAAAAGTCAGAAGGCATTCTCGGGGTCTCCTTTCTCTTTCCTGTCCTGTGTCGGTCCCATCATGTGATGACTGTTTTCAGGCTTGTGAGTGTTCTCCTTGGAGGTGCATTTCACACCCACAGGTAGAAAGCCAGTTCATCAATCTTGCACTAGTTTTCCTGTTTCTGCACTAGCAAAACCTTGCCGAAAACCAGGCTTTCTGCATGACTCTCGAGGAGGAGACCTGGATTTCCTGGAGCGTGCCACCTGTGAGGGCTCTTTCTTAGGACTGGGACTGCAGCCAGCAGCCTGCCTCCACTTTCCACATCTGCTGCACCACCCCAAAAGATATTTAATGAAGCAAAAAATTAATCACCTGTAACTTTGCTTTTTAAAAATTTCAGGTATCTTTTTGTATAATGGGCATCCAATAAAACAAATAGACATCCTGGGAACCGTCATTGGAGTGAGAGAAAGAGATGCTTTCTACAGTTACGGAGGTAAGAGCAATTGTATCCGGAATTGAGTTGTGGTAGAAAGTCCCCATGTAACTAAAGGTTGGATTTTACACAGCCCGGCCTTTCAGAGCTGCTGGGGACCTCACAAAGAACATTCCTCTGTCGGGGGCCTCTTGGAACCCTGCATGTGGACTGTGTAAAACGAGACAAGAGGTAGAGTGATACCGATGATACCGTGAAGTGACCACCACTGGGGAGTCAGGAGGTGGAAGAATTAAAACACAGCAGTGTAGGGTACCAGATCGACAGGGGGGAACACCCGACCCTGTGGGCACAGCTATAAATAGCAAAGGAGGCTATCTGGTTATAATGATACCTTTACAAAGAAGGAGCCAGGTTAATGTCCAAGTAGACTCTTTCAGAAGACACAAAGTTGTGAAAAATAAATTTATATCCAGAAGAATTTTTTAAAAAGCTTTTTGGTACTCAATAAATATCCATAATCAGAAAAGTTCCCTTCCCTTATGATGATGGAAACTATATAAAGGGTTTCTATATTTTGGAGGCCAGCGAATTACTAGAATGTGATTTTAGTGTAGTACTTCTTGAATGTTTTGAGCTGAACGTAAGTATTTTAATATATTGCCTTTTGCAACTTCAAGATTCCCTAGTTAAGAGGCCAAGTTAGGTATTTGATGGGAAAGAAGTTTGAATTCCAAACCTTTGCCAAAATGGACACTTGCTTTTTGCGATGCTGCCTTGGATTTGTATTCTTGCTCTACCTGGAGGGAGATAGAAGGCATCAGACTTAGTGATCAAAAATACTTCCTTGGCAGTTTATGCACCATTGATAATTATAGATACAGCAGCATTGCATTCTTCTCCGTTTGTTCATTTTCCTGACGATGACTTCTTGTGCTTATAAAATAACATGTGAGAGATGAGATCTCCCATGCCTTCTGCTTTTTCTCAGTGCATAATCTGGAATAGATCAATTTGTTGTCAGACATGCATGCACTGAATCTCTTCTCTGCTTTGTTTGACCAAAGGGTCGGTCCTGTTTTTCTCAATGTGGGCATACCCAGCTGTGGCCGAGTGCATTGCCTGCAGTACAATAAAGCACTTCCTCCCTGCCTTTTAGTGATAAAATAATAGTGTCCTTCAGTTTACAAAGCACCTTTATAGTCATCATCCACCTTATCTTCCCCCTAATCTTCTGAAATAGGACAAATTATTCCCATTTCGGAGACGGGAAAGCTAAAGCTCAGTGACTTGCTTAGGGCTCCAGTGATGAGGGTGTGTGAGTCCAGTCTTCTGTGTGCTCTGCAGTGTACACATAAGAGATTTCTCTCTCCTTCCATCCCCTTGCCCGTCCAGACCCCCAGCCCCACATCATCTGGATCTGGTTTTTAGTTTTCTGCTTTTCAGATGAAATAAATGAGACTGTTGAAAACCTCAGTCCTGGCTCTAGAACCAGGCCAAAATTAGCCTGTGACCTAACAGAGCATTTCTTACACCCTCTTCCCATTATGGAAAGATTAAGGCTGCGTGCTTGACTCTTCCCAAGAAGCCTGGGTGGGGGCCAACAGCCCGCCACATCTGTGGGCTGCACAAAAACAGACATCTGAATGTGGAAGTAATCGAGAGCAGAAGTGCTTTTGTGACTCATTCTCACCTGGCCTGCTCAAGCGGAGAGCCGCTTCTGTCCCTGCCGTCTGTCTTTGGGCCCAGCGTGGCTCTTAGCCCACCTTCCAGGCAGCCACACCCTGCTGCCCGTTTCACCACAGGCCCGTGCTGGGGGGTGCATCTGCCCACAGCACCACCCTGCTCGGGACCCTGACGCAGGGGCTGCCGGGAGAGGTTGCAAACCAGGGAAGCTGGGGTTTGGTGGCAGTGCCCGCAGTGCACAGAGCACCTGGCAGCAACACAAACTCGGGCTGCAGATTTGGGAGGCTCAGGCCAAGACCAGAAAGCTCACGTTTCCTAGGACAGATGTTCACCTACTCAGGTTTTTTTTTTCTTTCCATCATAAATCAAGATTTTCAATTAACCGGAGAAGTTGTGCGCCTAGATATGTCATACCGTCTTTTTTTTTTTTTTTTTTTTTGGTACCGGGGCTCAAACTCGGATCCTTCTGCTTGCAAGGCAGGCGGCAGAACCACTGAGCTAAATCCCCGGCCCCATGTCATACCATCTTTAAACCCACATGTCCTTACTGTTTGCTTCCTTAAGTCATACTCACTATAAAAGAAAATTTAAAACTAAAAAAGTGTTAATGATATACATACAAGTCATGTGAAATGCGATAAATCGGATAAACACAATGTCCTTGTTTGGGTGAACATTGTTCCTGATATTCCTAATGTGCTAATATTTAAGAAATATAGAAATGCCTTATTTCCTTAGTGCTACTATACATATGTCCTGTCTTCTTTATATTTAAAATAAGACAGTCAACGCATACAATGAATGTGGGGTTCTTCTCCCATATTCCAAAAGATACTATTAGCACCCAATGTTTTAAAATCATTTATGGGGCAGGGGATTTAGCTCAGTGGTGCCGCTGCCTGCCCCACAAGCACAAGAACCCGAGTTCGATCCCCAGTATCAAAAAAGAAAAGAAAAGAAATAAAATCATTTATGTTACAAGGCTGGGGATGTAGCTCAGTGGCACCGCGCCTGCCTGGCAAGCACAAGGTCCTGAGTTTGATCCCCAGTACCAGAAAAAAATCATTTATGTTACAATTTACTGTTTGTTTTACATAAATTATATGTAAGACTTCTAAAATATATAAAATTTCTGTTTCACAGTAAGGCACCTATATCTTTTTTTTTTTTTTGGTACCAGGGATCGAACTTGGGTCCTTGTGCTTGCAAGGCAGGCGACAGAACCACTGAGCTAAATCCCTGGCCCGGGCACCTATATCTTTTAACAAAAGTGAGTGTAGATCTTCGTTGTAATGCTTTATTCTCATATACTGTTATTGTAACTTATTTAATCAATTCCATATATTTAGGTTATTTACAATTTTAAGTGTTATAAACAGTACCAAAGTGAACAGCCTTATAGGAGGTATCTGTATCTACATACTTACTCTGTTTTTCTCCTCAGAGTAATTTATTGGAAGCAATTGCTAGGTCAAAGGATATATACATTTCAAAATTTGATGCATGTTTTTAGACTTGCTTTTTAGAATTTTAGTACTGATTTAAACTTCCACTCATAACATATGAATATCAGTATCTAATAGTTGAGAAATTATTCAAACTGGCTCTTTTTTCATGGTAAATGGTGAATTTAGCATACTGACATATTTATTGGTCGTGCTTATGTCTTTCATTAATTGCATATTCTTTTTCTTTGCCACTGTTTCTCTTGTAGCTTGGTCTTTTTCTTATTAAATTAGAATGAGCTAGGGGCAGGGATTTAGCTCACTGGTTCCGTCGCAAGCGCAAGGTCCCGAGTTCAAGCCCTGGTACCAAAAAACAAACAAGCAAACAAATTGTAATGAGCTCTCAATCTATTAAGACACTGGCCCCATCATTTAGAAAATTGCTATCCATTATTAGTTTTTAGATCAGCAACCATGTCAGACTTAAAAACCAAGTTCTCTTTTTTGGTTTTGCTTAAAGCAGTCTCTCCCCACCAACCAAAGGCCTGAAGTATTAATCCATATTTTCTTAAGTTTATATATATATATATATATATATATTTTTTTTTTTTTTTTTTTTTTTTTTTTTTTTTTTTTTTTGGTACCAGGGATCAAACTCAGGTCCTTGTGTTTGTGGGGCAGGTGGTGGATCCACTGAGATAAATCCCCGGCCCTTAAGTTCACCCATTTAATATAATGAAACACATCTAGAATTTATTTTAAGTATTCTTGACTTTTTCTTTCAACATAGATTCAAACCAGCAATAAAATATTTTGACCTTATATTTCTTCTACATTATGTGTGATTTTACAACAGTCTACTCAATTTCTTCTTTTAATTATGAGGCCCACTAGCCTGTGCTTAGTAACCTTGATTCTGAATCTGTCAGAAATTAGGCAAAGAGAAAATCTCCAAATTCTTCTATAGGTACTATGGGAATTGTTTGTCTTGTTTTGTACTAGAAATAAAATAAGCTGAACCAGTACCGTTTTTGTGGCCAGGATATAATTATTTTCTATTATGAAAATAAAACAGTGTCCTTCTGTGACAGGCTTGGCTCCCCTTGCGTCCCCTGCAGGGGTAATGACTGAGCAGAAGCCCTTTGCAGAGAGAAGCCCTAGCCAAACAACCTGAGACACTTTGTGTTGAGTCACCAGCAGCTAGAGAAAGAGAAGTGGTGACAGGAGGCTGTGCCCTGGGTGCTGGTGCCCTCGACCACAGACTGTGTGATGCTGTCTTGGTCCAGGGTGGGAGAGAAAGGCTGAGTTTGTGTGTGGGCAGTCCTTGAGATCTCCGAACACGACTTCCCGAGGACACCACTTCTGGTAGAGGGGTGTAGATGAGGCCACTAGTACTGTCCAGGTAGGGTAAGGAAGTGTTGGGCACGTATACTCCGCTCACATGTGTGCAGGCCATACTGGCATGTGGGGAGAGATTGAATTTTAAAGATGGAGGACCTTGATAAGGGCTTTCCCCATCTAAGCTTTGGAAAAACGTCATTTTGGGGCTGGGGATTTAGTTCAGTGGTGCCGCCGCATGCCTTGCAAGTGCAAGGTCCTGAGTTCAATCCCCGGTACCCCCAAAAAAGAAAGAAAAACGTCATTTTTCAGTGTGCCTGAGTGTAATAATGACATGTGAACTCACCAGCTATGCCTGGATCTCTTCTACCCTTCTGTGCTTCTCTTGCAGTGGATGATAGCACAGGAGTTATAAACTGCATCTGCTGGAAAAAGCTGAGCAATACTGAGACTTCCCCAGGTAATTCTGTTAGCCACATTCCTTTGCTCTTCAGCTAACCAATAGATTTCAAGGTGACTCATCAGAGCAGCTACAGGCTGAATTTTCACTTTCACCCTCCAGTGATGTGCAGTGAGGGACTTGGAACACAGTACTCAGAGATTGGGCTGCTCTGAAAACTGGCACCAGGGCGGGTAATGTGCAGTTGCTTCTCTTTCTCCCACCTCTTCGGTGCTCATTTCTTCCTGGTCATAACCCTTGACCAGAATTTTGAGACTGCTTTTCCCACTAGCCTCTCTGCAGCTGTGGTCCAGATTTTCTGAATTTCTAATATGTTAAGATGAATTCCAGGACTTCTGAGATTGTTAGGATGGGATTCCTTTGGAAGCTAGCCATTAAGTAAGATAAACTGCAAAAGAACTTTAAAATTGTATATTGATCCCATTGACTATAACTGAAGCAACATTTGGAGTTACTTAAATGCATTTTAATAATTCCTGAGTACTCTTTTTGTTTGTTTTGTGGTACTGGTGCATGCTAGGAAGCACTCTACCGCTGAGCTACAACCCCTACCCTCTTGGGTAGTCTTTAAAGTTTGGTTCATCCTATTTAAAAAGTATTGTGTGACACTGGTGATCGCTTTTGACTCTAGAAAAGCTGCAGGAATTGGCGCCTCACTTTTCCTGCTTTATAAAGCATGCAGCCTGGCGTCATGCATGTGGGGTACTGAGTCAAGGCCACTGTGCTGGTGCTGTGGTTGGGATGAATGTGCCCCAGCGGTCACCTGTAAAGGCCGGTTCCTCAGGGTGGCAGTATTGGGAGGTGCTGTGCCCAGTTAAGAGGCAGGGCCTAGTTGGGGGTCCTTAGGTCTCTGGAGGCAGCGCCCTCAGGGGCTGTGATTCTCAGGCCCCTGACTCTGTTTGCCTCCTGGCTCCATGTATGCTTGCTCCTACACTCACCACAAACCAGTACGGCTGCCTGGTTTTGGACTTGAACCTCTAGAACAGCGATGGTGAACCTTTTAGAGACAAAGTGCCTAAATTGCAACCCAAAACCCACTTATTTATCACAAAGTGCCAATACTGCAATTAAACCTGAATACTCAGGGTTTAGTTTTGAAAAAACAACTGTCATCCGATGCTCAGCTGCTGGGGCAACCTGGCTTGCATGCCGACAGACACGGCCTGCGCGCCTGCAGCGGCTCGCGTGCCATAAGTTCGCCACTGCCGCTCTAGAAACTTGTGGTCAGCGTCTCCACGATTGAACACGGGCACCAAACGCAGAAGCAGGCATAGGTGGCCTCAACGAATGGGCCTGGCTGTGTCCCAGAAGAGCGTTATTCAGAAAGATAGGCGTTGAATGGGCCTGGTCCAGGGCCATGCTTTGTCGGCCTCTGTTTCAGATTCGTTTTCAGAGTTTTCCCAATTCACTTTTTTTTTAAGAAATGACATCAGGAAAATTATATAATTCTTATACTTAGTAATTTTTTTAGATCAATGAAATGGCCATTAATACCGAGAGTAAGATTTTTTTAAATGTCAGTAAGTAGATGGATCAGTAACAATCGCAGAGGGAAGCCTTAATTTGAAGTTACTTTGCAAATATGAAGAGAGGGTAAGAATATCAGAAAAAAGCCTGCATGTGATTATCATCTTGTTACACATGAATGATGCTTTTAAATTGCTCCCCACTTGCCCATTCTTTCCTTTTCATGTAATTGCCCAACGTTTACAAGCTTGCCATTGAAAAGTGGCCGGCCAATGGAGACAAAAATTTTTAAACAAAATTTAGTCAAAGCCAAAATCCTGTTCCAGTCAAAGTATAAGAATATAATGTTCACTCTTACAAATGTCACATTAAATGTACCGTGTGGACTTAGCTTATAAGTGAAGCTAAGAAAGCTTGCTCCTCAGCATTGGAGAGGTAAAGGGCATTAGCTCTCCCACTGTCCCCTTACATTCACGCGTTGCAGGCTGGAGCGTCTGGGGCGGTTTGCCGCACCCTTCAGATGAAAGCTGGGCCTCTTGTCAGACCGACCGTCAGCCTGGTAATGCCAGCATTTATCATCAGCCGTAAAGTCTGTATAATGGAGGTGAGGGTTATAAACGCCCTTAACACTCACCTGAAGGAGAATGGCGCCTGGGGACGGGAGCACGGAGGAGACAGACGTTCCCCAGGTGATGCTGGCCTGTGTTCTGCAGAGAAACCCAGTGTGCCATGCGGCGCTGACACCGGTTGTCTGGCTTCCTAGGCACTGGCTGCTGCCCATGTGCAGCCCCCCACCCCGCCCCCCTCGCGTAGCACAGGTGTTAAGGTGAATGCCTCTCTCTGCGCTGGACACTGGCAGGGTTGTCCACATTGTGTTAGGGCAGAATATGTGACCAGGCTACCAAAAAACATTCACTCGCCATGGGAGCCCTATTAGAAGGCAAACCACAAATAGCACAACCTCAGGACACCAATCAGCACATAACAAAGTCGTTGCTTCAGGTAGATAACAATATTTTTTAAAAGTTCCCTGTGTTTTCCATATTGCAGCGTGTATAGAACAACCCACAGAAGACAGAGGTGTACATTTATCCCAGTAAACGTGTCAAGCTCTCCTACGCCCCTGGCTGTTAAAGTGCGGAAACTGTTACCAATGACGAGAGGGATAGACTCAAAAGTCAAGATTTTTTCAAACTTTTATAAAGTAGAATGAAATTATCTAAATGTGAAAAAGAAAGTGGAGTGTGGAGGGTGTGTGTAATAAGGCTCACAATAAAGTGTCCTGACATTTAAAAGAAACTAGCAAAGCTGAAGAGGTGGAGGGCTGATTCATAAAGAAATAGAGAGTGGATCATCTCGTATGTGAGTGGGTCTTGGAATTTAAAGCACAGTAAAACTTTGTGGACTCATGTCGTGTCTGCTAAGGAGTTAAAGGTCCCAGCCGTGGAAACTGGTGGAACGTGCACCTTGCCGATGACATTATGTAAAGACCGGGTGGCACGGTTATTTTTTCTAGAAGACATTCTGACAGTGTGTTACAGACTGCAAGCCTAATGAAAGACCCCCAAAGAAAAAAAAATAATTTTGTCCAGAGAGCTTCACAGATAGCACGCATTTATCACTCCTGTGGATCTGACGTTGGTCAGAGCACATGAGGGGAGAGTTAAATTAGATCATACACATAAAAGTAGATCTCACACACCTGTGTGTGCGAGGAGTCTATCCATCCCCATTTCATAGTTGAAGAAGCAGGGACTTAAGAGTAGAGAGAAAGGGGCACAGTGGGGTTCATAAGTAACCCAAGGCCACACAGCTAGTAAGAGGCAAACTGAGATTAAATCCGGTCTAAGTCAAGGAGCCAAAGGCTGACCTCTAAGCTGTACTGCCCCCACACAGTGCTAGTGGTACAAATCAAAATTGTTTTAGCCGGTGTGGTGGTAAACACCAGTAATCCCAGCACTCCGGAGGCTGAGGCAGGAGGATTCTAAGTCTCAGTGCCGTGAGTTTGAGGCCAGCCTGAACTACATAGTGAGACCTTGTCTCAAAAAACAAAAACAAAATTTTTAAATATAAACAGAAATACTGAATGCGGCTGTCTAAATAAACCATCCTCTTAGTAAGACAGAATGGCATGTTGCTATTTAAAATGCCATGGTGTGTAGACTCTGTGGGATACATAATGTGTGTTTGGAATTACAGTAGGCAGAAAAACAACATGAAATCGTTTATCTTGATCATAGCAGCTGTGCGAAACGAGAGTCCTGGGCAGGCAGCAGGAAGCGCAGGAGAAGCAGAGGGGCTCTGCAGCCAGAGTGTGTGGCTCGCACCCACTGCTTCAATGCCGCTGAGATTCCGGTTCCTGCCCTCTAAGTTGGGCCGTCATAGAGAGGAGCGGTTGTGAGATTTAGATGTGCTGATGCACCCCTCTGCCCATACACTCGTGCTGCTTATACAATGCGCAGGTGAAGTTTGAGTGATGACGATTACTTAGGATTGAATACGCACTGGTTTCTTTCCACCATGCAGTTGCTTATAAGGTTATACTTTAAATGGTATAAGAGTGAGTATGCATGTGAAGAGAGGCTAGTTCCTCAGTCATGAGAGGTGAGAGGTTAAGACAGCGGTGAGCCCATGGCACGTGTGCCACAGCGAGCACCGGAGCCCTCTCTGCAATGACATCGTGAGTTTATGAGTTGTTTTTTCTACAGTAAACTTCAGTGTTCAGGTTTAATTACAGTCTTGGCACTGTGATGAACGAGTGGGTCTGGGGTTGCGGTTTGGGCACTCAACTCTGAAAGGTTCACCGTCACCAGACTAGGACACGGAGACCTAGGTGGGGCAGTCTTTGCCCAGACGCCTGAAGGTTGGAGACCAGTTGCCCTGCAGCCCAACTGAGCACATTGCGCACATTGTACATCGGCTGCGTGACCACGCTGCCCACAGGAGAGACAAGGCATCACAGCTGCCCGGAGCTCCCCCCTTGGGCTCAGTGCACACTCTGCCCCCTCGTTCTACTTCTGCATAACTACGGCGTACACCCTGTGTTCTGTAGAGCATTTCCAAGGGCCCTGAGGAGCTCCTGTAGTGGGCCGGTGACCAGGAGAACAAACGCTGGGCTCCCCACTGCGCGCCCTCTCCGTGTCCTGGAGTGGTGGGCTCATGCCTCTCTCCCCGCGTCCGCCCTCACAGCTGCTCCAAGCTCGGCAAGAGAGCTGAGTGTGATCTCAGAGCTTGAGAAGCTGCAAGAGACCATCGAGCAGAGAACCAAGATAGAAATTGGGGACGTTATCCGAATCAGAGGCTACATCCGCACATACAGGGAAGAGCGGGAAATCCATGCTGCCACTTACTGTAAGCACAGGATGTTTCTGCCACATTGGTTGCTATTCTGGGTGTGTGTTCAGTGAACTCTTGTTTAGCTAAAAGTCAGACTTCCAAAAAGTTTAGAAGACGTAACCCTAATGGGGGAAGTTAGATGGTGTAGCATGCTTTCTTTAATTGGTGTAGTGTTCCTTAATATTATTTTGAAGAAAGTTAGTTATATGTATATAATGGCTATATCTGGTTGGCAAGTTCATTTGGACACTGTGAGACTCTTTAAGTGTCAGTCCACTAAGGTAGATGTTTCATACGCTTCAAAATGGTGGAGGTTTCCTGAGCACCCTTAAGATGTTCGCCCGAAGTGAAAACAGCTCCATCAGAAATGGGACAGTCCCACACCATCTCCCCTTCGCGCTGCGCTGGCTGCTACTCAGCTGGAAATGTCAGGGACAGTCTCTGTCGTGTACCAGAGCACCAGATGAATAGCTGCACCGTCCTGGCCCCCACCCCTGTCACTCCTGCTGCTCCGGGCATGGCCTTCCCTCTCAGGGCCGACTGGGCGCCATCAGGTGCAGCCAGCCTGCTGTGCTCATAGTGATGTGGCCCTGATCGTGCTTTAATCTCTGTGGCATCTCTCCGGGGGGTGTTAGATAAAGTGGATGACCCGATGTGGAACATTCAAATTGCAAGAATGCTTGAGCTGCCTGATCTCTACAGGAGAGTATATGACCAGCCCTTCCACAGCCAGGCCTCAGAACAAGAAGAGGCAAGCAGGTGAGTTTCACTCTGTCCCTGCCCAAGATATGCAGCAGAGCCAGGCAGTGGCGGCTTGGATGCTGGGGTTGGCCTGGGCCAGAGCTCTGACCCTCTGGGGCCTCAGTCTCCTCATCTCATCTCCACAGTGAGGTCAGTAATAGTATAAATGTACTTGGGGGCCGGGGATTTAGCTCAGTGCTTTCACAGCGTGCTGTGCAAGCGCAAGCGCAAGGATCCGTGTTTTTATCCCGGGTAAAAAAAAAAAAAAAAAAAACCAAGACAAATGTACTTGGGTCATCGTAAGGAAAATATGTGTATAATTAATGTCGCTGACAGCTTTCCCGTTGCTAGGACAAAATACCTGGCACTCACAACTTAAAGGAGAGATTTACTTTGGCATATGATTTCAGTCTGTGGTCGTCTGGTAGATGGGCATGGTAGACGAAAGCTGCTCACCTCACAGTGACCCGGAAGCAGACAGGGAGGGGAGGAGCCAGGCGTGAGGCCACACCCCAGGGACGGGGCCCTTCCTGCCAGGCCCCACTTCCAAACTTGAGACTTGGCACAGATTTTAGATCTAAACCATAACAGAGTGGAAGGGGGAGCAGAGAAAACATATTGGAAGAAATAATGGGTGACATTTTTCCAAGTTGGATGAAAACTGTGTAAACACAGATCCAAGAGGCTCAACAAATCCCAAGGCAAGAGACAGGAGGAAAACTGTAATGAGCCTCACAAACAGATACTATACCACAGCATGTCATAACCAAAACCTACCAAAAACCCCAGCTGCAACAGCTAAGCAACAGTTCTCCACCAGTGGGTAAAACCCAACCCAACCCAACCCAGGAGGAATGGTGTATAGGAATTTGCCGGTATGTGGGAAGAGGTCCTAAGGACCAGTTACAGTGGCTCCCTGGGCAGGCTGGGAGGATAGGATGGGAGGAGGAGGAAAGGGAGGAGGAAAGGGAGTTTTTAAATGTATGCTGTCCTCTAATTTTTAAAAAAAATTTTCTTGCAATGCTAGGGATAGAAGCCAGGGCCTTGCATGTTCTAGGCAAGTGCCACACCACTGAGCTGCACCCCAGCCCTCCCTCTAATTTTTTTTTAACGTGACTATATTACATATCCAGGAAATTTTTTAAAGAAAGTACAAATGATAGACCTGTATAAAGTAGGAAGTGGCAATTGTCCCCTGGGTGCCATTCCCCAGAGGTTACCCCTACACCAGGCTCCGGAGTCTCCCTGTAGGTTCATTTCTTCTGCGCGTGAATAGTCATCCATATATTCTGGACTCTTTCCTTGGCTTTGCTGGGGGGGAGGGATGCTGGGGATTGAACTCAGGGCCTGACCCTTTTTTGTTGCTGTTTCAAGACAGGATCCTGCTAAGTTGCCTAGGCTTAGCTCAAATTTTTAATCTTCTGCCTCAGCCTCCCTTAGTGCTAGGTTTACAGACATTCGCCACCACACCCGGCTCTACTTTTTTTTTCAATCTATCATGAATATCTCTGTTAATTCTTATAGTTCTACCTCACAGTTTTAAACCAACATACGATGCTCACTGTGTGAGCTACCCTTGATGTCAAAAACAAGCATCAATATAATATTGCACCTAGTGTTGTGATACAGTATTACATTTTAGCTGATTTCCTGTCTTAGGCACACCAGGAAAGGGAGAGAGGTGATAGTCTTCTGCAGGGCTTCTAAAACCTTTCCCCCACCAGCAATCCAGGTGCCCTGGACCTTGCCAGCCTCACGTGTTTGCTGAGTGAAAAAGTCAAAGAATTCCTCCTGGAGAAGAAAGTGCACACCTTCTACCAGCGGGAGTTGGAAGCGGTGGCCTCCTTGCTGTCCCTTGCCAATCAGCCTGTGATTCGTGGCCCCAGCTCCAACCAGGTGAGTGGTGTGCGCACGTGCGAATCTGAGTCCCGTGGCCGAAGGTGTGGGTGGCCGTGCCTGGTGGAGAGACGCACAGAGTGGGCCGAGGGACAGAAGTCCCGGTTCCGGCTGTGTCGCTTCTGTTTCAGAGAGGCCGCTGACCTTGACGAGTTTGAAATGAGGCTGGACCTGCCCTTTTCTCCTCCCTGCTCAATCTCATCGCCCTTAATCTTCCTGGAGGGAACTAATAACAGGCTTGGGTCTGGCTGTCCCTGCTCACTGAGAGGGTGGTCAATCGCAGCCAAAGCCGAACGGTGGGCAAATGGGCAAGAGCAGTCAGCTGCCCTCCGCCCACGGTCAGTTACTGATCAGCAGGATAATTCGTGAACTTGAACCAGGGTTTTTAACAACTGCTTCCCTTTTCTTCTGAGTAAGGTTAATCTGTCATGTTTTAGGAGTTTAAACAAAGATCCAGTTGTATTCAGTCTAGTTTGTAGGTAAAAGTCTCGGAATACTGATGTTAATTTCTGTTCCTTTTTTTTTTAACCTCTAGTGTTACAGGCAGACATTTTTAGTTGTTTGGTGTTTATGTGTTTGAAATTAAGAATTATCAGAGACTGTTTTAGGCTTTCCTTTTACTCCATAAGATTGTTGTTATTGTGATGTGACTCATTTATTTTAAAGTAAATAAATGACTTCAGCGTAAATATCACCTTCCCCTCTGCAGTTGTCTGTTCTGGTTGCCGCTTGTCCCTCACTCTGACCACCGGTTACTTTTGTATCTGTGATGTCACTTCACACTGTCAGAATTAAGATCCATGAGATCAGAGGCTTCGTCTGACTTATTCTTTGTTCTCTACCCAGGCAGCACCTGAACCAGGGCAGGATAAAGCAGGTCCTCAGTAATTATTTGATTGAAGAAATGAATACTTACAAAAATTCAAATGGTTCCCCAAAGTAGGTAGTTAAAAGTAGGTGTCCTTCCCATCCTCCTCGCATCTCGTTCCTGTCCCCAGAGGCGGGCCCACTGCACGTGCTGTCGAGATGGTCTGTGCCTGGGGACGCCACACCAGGGTCCCCAGTGGGCGGTATGCTGTTGCACCCCAGAAGGTGCCCACTTTTCTCTGAGCTGTGTCTCGTACTGGCAGATCCTTTCCTGGTGGTGTATGTACATTTGCCTTCTGCTGCCTGACCCAGCGGATGGTTCTCTCCGCTCCTGAGCTGCTCAGACGTGTGCTAGTCTTCCGTTACTGGCAGGGCTACCGTGCACACACACTCTCGCTCAGGAGCCTGAGTTGTGCTTTGCAATCCCAGTGGAGCAGATCCAGGGTCACCGTCCTGGCCTGCTAGCCATGGCCACTGCTTCTCAGTTGTTTTCACGCACCTGATTACATTCTCCTGCCAACAGGCTCGTGTGCCCAGTGACCCAGGATTTCATGAGAGACAAGGGATAGCATTTCAGAAAACACCTGGTGGAGAAGGTCACAGCTCCCCGTGTTGCTCTTTGCCAAGGTTGCTCTGAACAGCCCCAGCTTGCCAGCTGTCACTGACAGAGAGGGTGACCTCCCCACTCAGTCACGCGGAGGAGGCTCAAAGGCAGGTTGACCTCCTCGCACTTCTGATGACTGTCCATCTGCTCGCAGGGACACTAGCGCTCAGGGAGGCCCACATTCTTCCCATGGAGCCAGTCCTCTGAATGGCTGTAATGAAGCAGCTCCCCCACTTGGAGTAATCTGTGAGGAAGTCTGGGGCTGTTAGCCTTTTCAGAATGCTTAGGGCCGAGAATTGCATCTGCCCGGTGCTCTGTGCCTAAGAAGGAATGGCTATGGCACTATTATTTGCTCCGTCTTTGGAGACGATCTTTCCATCAGTTAGGAATTAGTCTCCCTCATTGCTGAGGTGGAGGAGGTTGGTTTTGTGACACTGGATCCGTTTAATAACGCCCTGGGAGACCGAAGATGCTCATAATGACAGTGGCCGAGAGCCTTTGGCGCTTCATGTTGTAGAGCCCCACAGAGCCACCGTGATGGTGTCGTGGATTTGAGAGGGGAGAGCGGTTTGAATGTTTCTCCTTTTCTTTTTTTCCGTCTAGGCCCTTAGCAAGTCCAGAAACATGATAAGCACATCTTGCAAACCATTGTTTCTTTTGACAGCTGGATAAAAATGGACTTTGTTTGGGAGCGAAGACTATATATATTTATTTCAGGGAGGTGCCCAGTTCTTGACCTGACCCTAAGGCTGGGGTCGTTCAACCAGTTGCAGTTTTAGTCTATGAGCAGTTTTGGTTTCCTGAACTGGGTGAGTCTGTCATTGCTCTTTCAAGAACAACAAGAAAGACACAGATCCCAGTCCAGGAAGAGCTGCTGGCATTTTGGAAGCAGGAGCTAGAGGTCTTCCCCTGGAGCCTGCAGTCTTTAAACCAAGCCAGGAAACTTGTCCCAAGGTCAGCTGAGGCCAACGTTTCTGGAAAGGAAGCTTCACACATTGTTTATATTTACTGGGAGCCTTTCTGTTGTTCACAGCTAAAACTGCTTTTCCTCTCGCAGGCCTGCACGCTCTTTCTGCCACTTGGTCTTACTGAAGAAAGGAGCAGATGTGAGCACAAAAGGTTGCCCAAAGTGAGAGCTGTGCATTAAGCAAACAGATCATGACTAAAGCACAGAGCAGTTCACAAGCAGCAGTCTGCCGGGCAGCTCCTGCTGTGCTTGCGTACTGTCCCACTCGCTGGCCCACACACGCATCTTTCTTGGCTCAGCAGATTAGAAGCCTGTTAAGTGGATTCATGAACCAGTTGGTCAGGGGAGTTGTTTGTAGGTGCTAGAAGGTGGAACTTACGTCTTTTCTTCATTTTTCCTCTCCATACAGATGGAGTTTCAAAACACCACCACTTCCAAGGCCATTCATAGTATATTTAAGAATGCTATACAGCTGCTGCAGGAGAAAGGACTCGTTTTCCAGAAGGATGATGGTTTTGATAACCTGTACTATGTAAGAGCCGTAACTTCACTTTTTCCTTTCATAGCTTCAATTACAAACATATTGTTACTAATGAATATTTACGATTTTAAAAAATTAGTAGGTGGCATATAAAGCCAGAAGTGAACATTTGCCTCACCCTTCTCCAGGCCACCTCTTCTAGCCGCGTGTCCTTCCAGACATTTATCTGCACATTTATCTGCATGTACAGATGTGCTCCCGTGGCTTCTTTGTTTTACACAAAATGTGGTCCTCTTCTAAGTTGGGACTTGTCACCTCAGCAAGACATGGGCCAGATGACTGTTCACCGGAGGGGGACAGCCCGTGCCTTGGAGGATATTCAGCAGCATCCATGTGCTTCCCTCCCTGGGTGCCAGGAGTACCTCCGCCACTGTGCCAATCACAAATGTCCCTGCACATTGCTAAATACCCCCTGGGACAGCTGAGAGCTGCTACTCTAAGTAATGCTAATGATACTAAAATAGCACATGACAGGCACCTTTCCCCGGTCGTGCTTAGGAATCTACCTCAGTCTTCCTGACACCCTTGTGGTATTCCACTTTATGGGTGCTTGCCATGCCTGTTTTAGGTCTGTGACGGGCTGTCGTGGTTTTTCCAACTTCTGCTGTTACAGAGAGTGTTACATTGGCCCTTTTTGTGCAGCTGTCTTTGTGAACTTGTGCACTGTTTCTGTAAGACTGGCTCTGAAGGACTGTTTCGGGAGCAGAGGACACATGGTTTTATGCTCTCACTGGCGCAGTCCGAGGGGCCTCCCGAAGGCCGTGCCCACTGACCTCCTGCTGGGAGCCTAAACTGGGGTGCCCGGGTGCCTCCTCCTCTCCCAGCTACAAGTTTGCCCCTTGCTGCAACCTCTTCATCTTGGGGGAGCCAGGTTGGAAACGAGTCTCTTTGGGATATGAGGTCAACCGTAAATGTGGCTTCAGGGAGGTGAGTCTTCTCCATGGTTAGGCCCGTCTAGCTAGAGTCCCCTGGGGAGGATGTCCTGAGTGGCTCACATCCTGATGTCCACTTGCCCCAGGAGCCCCATCCTGGAGTTTTCAGTGCTGCCTGGTAACTTCTGGAGGAGGCTCTCGGTGTGAAGGTTGAGTGGCCCACCCTGTCTGTGGGAGTGGAGGCACTGGGGCCGACTGGAGTTGTGAGGCCAGCGGGTGGCTCGACTCTACACACACACACACACGTCCCCTCAGGCCCTGGGCCGAGTCTGTGGAGGGTGGCCTTTCCTGGGGAGCTGCAGAGTCACAGGCAGCCACCAAGGGCGAGGCACGGCAGGGCTGGACACTTCCTCCTGTGACTCACTCTGAGTCGGGATGGGGTGATCAAGCAGGAACAGGCCTCCTGTCCCCTTCTCTGGCTCCACTCCCTTCCACTCATTGTCGCCTCCTAGGTTTCCTCCCGGGGAGGTGCTTCTCTCAGTAAGGTCAGTGCTCCTGTGCGGCTGGTGCTTCCCAGCTCTGAGCAGCTGGCACATGTGGCCCCTTTTTTTCAGCAGTGGGAATTGAAACCAGGTCCCCTTTTCTTTTCTTTTCTTTTCTTTTCTTTTCTTTTCTTTTCTTTTCTTTTCTTTTCTTTTCTTTTCTTTTTACCTCCACATTTACTGCTGAACATGAAAGTAAAATCCATTTGGTTGCTGCTTCCTTCTCACCTGAACTGGTTGAAAAAGAAACATGGTTGGTTATATCTGCCTTTGAGAGAAGAAAGTATTTCAGTGGGCTAAATTTACTCTCTTGCTAGCCTTTCCTTGCAGATTTTTTTTCTTGTGTTTAGAAGAAGGGTGCAAAGTAAGGAAACCTAAGATAGGTGTCGGGCCCCTGAGGAAGAGACCTGCTGTGGAGGTTGGGACTTGGGTCGCTGGTGCCCCCAGAACTATAACAGCAGATAAGAGACTCGGGAATGTGTTGAGAGTGTGTAAGAGGAAAGCTGCTCCTTAGCATGCAGAACTCCGGCTTCTCTCACCCTCGTGGCCCGTGAGCAGCTCCTGAGGCCGAGTCCCTGGCTGACTGCGGCTGCTCCTTGCTGGGCACAGAGCCGGTGTGAGCAGGCGTGCTGCTGAAATCACAGCGTCTGTGTAGGGAAGCTGAGTGGTAGGAAACCCTAGGAGCTGTCCTACAAGCCAGTTCGGGAGTCTCGGTGACATCCCACTGCGCTACCTGAGAGCCTTCCCTCCCTGTTAGGTAACCAGAGAAGACAAGAACCTGCACAGAAGGATCCACAGGATCATTCAGGAAGACTGCCAGAAGCCAAATCGTAAGTGGCACAGCGTGCAGGCGCCACACTGGTGCATGGAGCGGCTGCACCTCCCAGTGCCTGTACGGAGAACCCAGCGCTGGGCTTTTCCCAGAGTGACTTGGAGGAGCGGTGGTCAGGGCACCTGCTGTCTGAGCCTGCTTCCGCCCCTCTAGCTGCAAGTGAGGCCCACACAGTAGTTTGGACCTTGCCTGTAAGTAAGATTCAGCCCTGGGAGCTTCTGAGCGAGCTTCTCTTTCCCTTAGGCTGGGCTGGGGTCAGCAGCCGAGCCCCTCAGCTGGCTGGGAGACTGTGCGCTCAGCCCCTCCTCCAGGACATGAAGTTCCTCTGGGCCTTGTATTCTAAGTTGCAGTGTGTCCTGTCCACGCTTGCCCCTGGGCTTTGGACGTAAACCTGATCTTCCTTCTTCGCGAACATCAAGGCCTTTCAGTGTTGAAAGGGATGGGTCTAGACATTACAGAATAGGAATGATACCATGATGCAGTCACCTAGGAAGCTGGTAATTTGCAGAAGAAATGGCTTAGAGAGTACTTGGTTTTAGTGGCATTAGGTCAGCCCCTAGTGGCTAGACATGTGAACTGCTAGTCTCGCAGCTAGTGTGAACCATTTTCACACTGGTTAGAAAGAAAAGGTAGCATCAGTGCTGTCTAAATCCTACATAAACTGGGCACTTTTCAAGGTGACTTCAAAATCTACCTTTTGCAAGCATATGCTAACAACGAATGTTGACTTAGATGGAGACATGGTGCTAGAACTGTAAAGTTGTTACCGACCCCAGATCCCATCCTGCTTTCGTTATCCCCTGAAAAATCTACCTCCAATCTTTTCAGCTCCAGCATCCCTGGGGCCTGGACCCAGTGCAAGCTGAGTCGGTAGGTGGAGTGGACCAGCCCTCTGCCCGGGTGTTAGGGACCCGGTGAGGTCAAAACCCAGAGTGGTAGGTCGGCAGGTCCTGAACCAGTCTGTGATTTTAATGCCGCTCAGGACAGTGAGAACACGCATCCTTACCTGAGAAGAAAGCCCATCTACTACAACCTATGGGCTTTTCAGAGCTGAGCCTGGGGATTCCTCAGCCAGCAGGGGGAGAGGGGTCCCACCCCCAGCAACCAGGCCACATCCACACTCCCAGTGTGATCTGCACTGGGAAGAGAATGGCTTGAAGCCTGGAGCCTGGTGAGGCAAACAAGGAATTTGCCCTTCATCTCTACAGCCTTGACCCACCCACGCTCAGGCCCCAGGTGGGTGCGTTGAGGTGGACAGGCCCTGCCACTCAGTGTGCGGGGGAGACTCTAAAAGCCACATCACCTGGCTGTAAGTCCCAGGAGCTGGATTCTGGAGCACAAGTAAGAGGCTGTCTTAGTAATCATCTCAAGCGCTCCTCCTCATAATGCATGAAAAAATTATCTTGAATAATCTAGGCTCATTATTAAAAATCAAGCAGTGTAAAAACCTAAAGAAGTGTCAGAGCCCTGCTCAGCACAGTTCCTCCCTGCAAAGTGCAGTTGTTGCCCGTCCTGCAACCTCCCAGAGATGTAAGCACCTGCAGATGTACTTGTACAGTAGGTCCTCTTTAAAACGCACAGGTAAAATTTAGCTTTCAGTATCCGTGGGCCTCACCTGCACCTGACCCTGCCTCCCACAGTGGCTCTGTCGGTCACGGGCAGCAGCGAGGTGGGTGCCGGGGGTGCTGGGCAGTGCATCCTCATGTGTCCAGAGAGCTGTGACCATTCGCCGCTCCTGCCGCGCCTCTCGTGCCGACCTGCATCATTGTCACTCGAGCTCAGGCTTCCATGGGCAAGAAAGGGGCCGAGCACAGCGAGCCTGACTTAGGGCCTGGGAGGACCAAAGGCTTCTGTCTAAGGCAGCACTGGGTGGCATCAGGAGGTGCCAGCCCTGTCTCGCGGGCCGCTGTGCCAGCTGTGTGGCCTTGGCTGAGGCTGCTCCTCGAGCTCTTCCAGGTACCCACCGGCAGCTCCTAGCTCAGCGAAGTGGTGTTTGTAGAGCACACACTGCTAGGGCCACCAAAGGGCGGGGCGTGAGCTCACTTCCGGAGAGCCCCGGGAAGCTCTCAGCTGCTGGCTCACTGCTGAGCGCATCGGTGTGCGGAGTGAGCTCCACTGTTAAGCCAGAAGTTTTTTAATGGATTTCAGTTTTAAGTATGAACATTCCAAGTGCCAGAAAGAATGAATTCTTCACCAAAGTTGGCTTTTTATCCCCAACTTTCTATCCTACAAATGTTCCAACCTGTACAAAAAATAAAAGACTAGCACAGTAGGCGTCGCTGAAACACTGCAGCTTGTGTTTCCTAGCAGAGGGTGTTCTCCTTGTCACACCCAAGCAGGTGTGAGAGACCTGATGCTTCTCGCATGGCGGCGTCTCACTAGATGTTACTAATAACTTCTCTTCCTTCTCTTTTCTTTGGTATCAGGAATCAAACTCGGGGCCTTGCACTTGCCAGGCAGGCATTGTACTGCTGAGCTGCATCCCCGGCCCTAACATTTCTTTTTAACCGAGTTCACTGTATCTAGTTGGGGTCCTTCCTGTGCCTAAGAGACATACTCTATGACACTCCTGTTAGAGTAATTTTTTCCTAGCCTTTTGAAGTAAGTAGATTATATCTGCAATTTCTTTTCTTTTTTTCCCACACTAGATACCAGGGATTGAAGCCAGTGCCTTCACACTGAGCTATATTCCCAGCTCCACCCCCGTTTTCTTTTTTGGGGGGACGGGTACTGGAGATTGAACTCGGGTCCTTGTGCTTACGAGGCAGACGGCAGAATCACTGAGCTAAATCCCCAGCCATACCCCCCTTTTCTTAAACAGAGTCTCACTATGTAGCTCAGCTGCCCTTGAACTCACTGTGTAATCCACACTGGCCTAGAACTCACAGCAGTCCTTCTGCCTCAGCCTCCCAAGTGCTAGGCATACAGGCATGTGCCACCATGCCCGGGCTCCCAGCCCTTTAAAAATATTTTTTATTTTGAGATGGACTCTCACTAGCCCAGGCTGGGATCAGACTTGGGACCCTGGTTTCTGGTAGGTAGGGTCCAAACGAGGTTTCCTGCGAAAGTGCTTGGAAAACCTAGGGCTCGGGTTCCATTGCCCCGGGAGGTCCCTTGTGAGACAGCCTCGTCTCCAGGCAGATGCCTGGCAGAAGTCTCCTGCAGCTGGTGGGTTGTCTTGTGACGGCGGTGATACTGTGTGTGGGGAGCGGGGGCTGCTTGTTGCTTTTACTCCTCGTCCTGTCTAGAAGCTGCTCGCAGAAAGGAGTCTGGTCTCAGTCCCCGGTGACCGGAAAGCGCTTTGTTTTTTGGGGTGTTTTGGTGGTACTGGGGGTTGAACTCAGGACCTTGTGCTTGCGAGGCAGGCACGGTGCCACTGAGCTACATCCCCAGCCCTGGAAAGCGCTTTGGGCACGGCCTCACCAGATCATCCTCAGGTGGCCCCTGCCCAGAGCCCCACCGCGCCTGGGCCTCGGCTCAGCCTTCGCCCAAGCAGCCGGGTCTCAGAAGCTCAGGTTGGAGCTGAGCAGCACTGACTGCCCGTGGCCCACCGCGGGTTTGGGGAGAGACCGCTCACCCTGCGGCAGGAGGCCCCGCCACCTTTGCTGTCAGCTTTCCCTCGAGTCGCTGCTGCTTGGGAAGCGCTGAAGCTTCTTTTTAACTTGTGGCGCCGGGGTGGAGCGCAGGGCCTTCGCACCGAGCCACCGCGCTGCTTGTTTGTTTGTTTGGAGAGAGGATCACACTAAGTGTGCAGGCTGGGCTCAAGCTGGCAGTCCTCCTGCCTCAGCTTCCCAAGTGCTGGATTACAGGCGGGCACCACCAGGCCTGGCTGAGCTGAAGTTTCTCTGCTCAGGGACAGCTGTACGTCCTGTCCGGTGTGGATGTGACAGAGTCACAGTGGTTCCCTATGTAAGAAGCGGCAACCCTGGGTCCCCTTTCCTGCACACAGCCACCCTGTGAGGTGGGTGGCTTTTGTCCTACGTGCCACTTTGCCCCCGCCGCAGAGCAGGAGTGCACCTGGGTCTGCGGCTGCAGCAGCAGCTCCATCACCACACAGTGCTGCACATGCAGTAGGTGGCAGGGCTTGTACAGGGCGGCTGTTGAAACTGCTTGGAGATGTGGAGAGCAGAGCCAGTCAGAGTAATGAGCCGGCCAGGCCACCAGAGGTCGCAGTTTGGCGCATCTTCGTTAGTCCAGGACCAGCCTCTGAATCTCAGACATCCTGGCCCCCGCATAGGTGAGGAAACCCAGGAGAGGGATGCTGTGATTTGCTCAGAGCCACAAGGGTGCACTGAATGTCATGCAGTGCTTTTCCCAACACCACAGCGCCTCTCTGGGCACCATCCTGTCCCTCAGCACACAGTGTTGGGTGCTGTATACCCAGCCTGGCCATGGGGCCCCGAAATGTGAAGTCCGGGGACGCATTGCTTTTAGGAACGAAGTTCAATTTTGACTCAGTTAGAAATATATTTCATGTCATGACCCAATACTCATTATTCTGATGCATAAGATACATATGAAATGAGGTAAGAAAAATAATTCGCATCCTAATTACTGTGCGGTACACTCTGCAGTTTTTATTCTAGTCTGTCTGAATCTGCTTGATAAGAAAAAGAATGCTGGCTGGTCATGTCGGCACACGCCTGTAATCCCAGCACTCAGAGAGGATCATGAGTTCAAGGCCAGCCTGAACATAGCAAGAACCTGGCTCAGAAACAAACAAAAAGAAATGCTAATCACAACCCACAGAAACTGATTTCATGATTCCCTAATGGTCATGGCCTTAGCATGAGAACCACTGCTCTAATTCATTGGTTTCAACAAGGAAAGCAGTGACCAGCCCTCAGCTTTGCCACTGCCCACCAAATGGTCTTGGTTTGGGGTAGAGTCAGAGTCACTAGGACACAGCCATCACAGGGCAGAGCTCCCTGGAAGCCAGGCAAGGAGGCAGGAGCACAGGCCAGAGGTAGAAAGAAACCCTTCTCCCCTCGGCAGCCCTGTCAAACCAGGCTTCTAGGAAGGATGTGGTCCACTGCAACGTTAGAGGGCTTCTGCCTGTAACTGCAGGGGGAAAAAGCCTTTCAAGAACTCAGACCCCGTTAGGTGGTGGGGAACCTTGGAGGTTGGAGGTCAGAGGCCCAGAGCAGTGGGTTCATGGCACTGTGGGGACGTGAGAGTCCTGAGAACAGGAGTTTGGGATTTGTTTTTGAGATCATCTAGAGCAGCGCCTCTCTGACTTTGATGCCCATCAGAACCATCCGGGGATCTTGCTCAAATGCAGGTGCCAGTTCTGGAGGTTTGGAGAAGGAGAGGACAGAGGAGGGGCCGGCAGTCATGTCCAAGCTTAGCTGCCTGCCTTTTTCCACAGATGTGGGGAAGGGCTGTCACTTCCGGCACATCTTGGCCTGTGCACACCTGAGCGTCCACCCGGGCCTGAGTGAGGCTGTGCTGCAGCAGGTGCTGGAGCTCCTGGAGGACCAGAGTGACATCGTGGGCACGGCAGAGCGCTACTACATGGCCTTCTGAGCAGAGGCTTGTGGAGCAGCCGGGGAGCAGGAAGAGGACGCGCTCAGCACCCCAGGCCCTGCTCATGAACAGCGAGCTGGATCTTGCCTTTCTGCAAGCAGCTGCCTCATAATAAACCATCAGTGACAGGCACCTGGGAAATGGGACTGGGCTTTCCACGTGCTGCCTCCTTGGGATGCAGTGACTCTGATCTTAGCGATGACACCCACGGGAACGCCTCACTGACCTCCTGGCTGGAGGCTCTCAGGGAGCAGAACGGGGAAAAAGTGCTGGTGGCTTCATCCGTGCATGGTCACTGACGTGGTAAAGGGACGTCACGGGGAACTGCAGAGCCCACGTGCAGATCACAGTTCCAAACATCTTACGACCGGTGGGCCCCTCTGAGGAGAAGGAGTGGGTGGGGGATGAGTGTGCCACTTGCCTCTGCCTTTAGGGGCCGGCACCAGTGGCGGGGCGGGGCTCTGTGCTCGGCACTTTCCGGCTGAGTCTGAAGGCACTCCGCGAATTGCCCAGCACTGCGTGACTGTCCCACCACGCCCAGGAGCTGGTGGGGCCTGCCAGCAGTGCCTGGCAGGCGATAGATGTTATTCTCCAGGTTGCTACTAAGTGAGCAGGATGTGCCCAGACAGGGGCGGGCTCTGAATGACAAGGTAGAGGAAAACTGTCCGAGGCACATAGCAAGCTTGTTCTAACAGAAAAATGACAAATTCAGCCAGCAAAAATAAAGTGTGCAGAAAGATTTGGAGTTAATTATAATCATTTCCCAAATGCATATCTGCCCTCGTCTGCTGCTCTGGCTCTTGATGCAATATTGTCTCGGTGGCTCAGTTGGAGCCCTGCAGGCCCAGAGCTGTTCCACTCCACGTGGACTCGGGTTTTACTCAGAGGTCAGCCTCGGTGGACGTGTCAGGCAGAGAGCGGGTGCCAGCAGACCCCGGCCCGCATCTTTCTGACTTACCCACACTTCTGCCAACTTCTGAGGCCGACTGCCTTCCTTACCATCAGAGGGTGTTTTGGGGGAGGACTAGGATCGAACCCAGAAGAGTTCTACCATGGACCCCTCACCCTTTTTGAGACAGGGCCTAGCTAAGGTTCCCAGTCCGACGTGGAGCTTGTAGTCCCCTCTCGGCCTTCTGAGTAGCTGGGGTTACAGGAGTTACAGTGTGCTACAGTGCTTGGCTCAGTCTGGGACAGGTGCCTGGAGGGACATCCCAGCAGGCTTCCTTCAGCACCAGTGGCTGACTGAGATTGAACAGGTCATTGACTAGCAAGGCTTCTAGGAGGGAGTCTGGAGTCAGAAGGTAGAAAGGGCAAATCCTGCCACAGCAGCCTCGTCCCAGGGGCTCACACCTGTGAGGTGACCACACAGGTGTGAAAGAGTGAATGCACAGGATGCTCATTGCCGTGCAATGTAGATTCTGTAGTCGGGGACAGTATGTGAAGAGAAAAGTTAATTGTGGCCCATGTACGTAACAAAATATTATGCAGCCACTAAAATGATGAAGCTATTGCCACGAGCACTGCTCCCAGGAGATGTAAGGGAAGAAAACCGAGGTATAGGGCTATTTACATGGTATGATACCATTGCCGTAAACTCTGTGTGCATGCACATGCCTGTGTAGTGTGTTTCTGCGTGTTTTGTCCAAATGCGGCACCCCTCTCACAGGAGGGCTGGGGTGTACAATGAATGTGAATGACACTTTTTTTTTTGGTACTGGAGATAGAACTTGGGTCTTTGCGCTTGTGGGGCAGGCAGCAGAACCACTGAGCTAAATCCCCAGCCCTGAATGACACTTCTTATTCTTAATATAAGTCTAAATGCATCAGAGCCATAAATTTGGATACTGCATGCCATGTAATTCTGAGTCATTTGATAATTCACCTTAGATCATTTGAAACTATATAATCAAACTAATTTCCAGCCGAGTCCATCACCCTCCAGGGAGCCTGTAGAGCCCCAGGTAGTGCCCTATATCCGATCCTGGAGTTTAGGGAATCATGACTGTGGGGAACAGTGACTTAAAACGCTGAACTTAAAATCGATGCTTTAACTGGAATATTTTTCTTAACCACTCAAGTAGAATATTGTACACCTGATCAGAGAGTGTGGTCAGTACCAATGGCCATTAATTGTCATATATAGTCCAATTTTTTACCTTAATCATAAAATGTTTAGGAACCTATGAAATTTAACTTTAGGAACAAAGCGTTGGGCAGAGTTGATGATATTATTTTTACGTTGTTCTGGCAATCCACAGAAAGAGAAGAGCCTTAATTTTTAAAACCCACACAGCTGACCACTCCTGTCTAGAAATACTTTGTGCATTTGGCTTTTGGGGCTGCAGCTTCTCGGGCCCCTGCGGTCAGTCCTGCATCTCCCTAAAGCGTCAGAGCGCAGCGGCAGTCCTGGCCCTCATCTGTTTGTTTACTCCCGGGGGTCTCAGACTGCTGTCCTCCCATCAGTATGCTGCCAGACTCCCACCCTGCATCCATGGCAGGCCTGTGCCCTGGTGCTCAGACCTCTGTCCAGCTCCTCCTGCATCTCCACTTCCGGGTCCAAGAAAAGCACAAACCCCGCCCGGTGCCAGGCTCCCAGCCACTGCTGCCCTCCAGCTTGGTCCTTCGCAATTTCCCAATCCAGGAAAAGGCAGCTCCACTTTCCAGTTTCTCAGGCTGAATCTGCTGACTCCTCCCTTTCTCCTATAGCCTGCACCAGTCTTGCTTCCACTTTCAGAACAGAGCTGGAATCCTGCTGCTTCTCACTCCTCCGCCTCCACCTCCCTCTCCCTGGGTATTGCAGTCCCCTGCCTGTCCTGCCTCTGCATGCGCCCCATGGTGCCGCAGCCTCCACACAGCAGCTGCAGTGATCCACTCTTCTTGCTCCAGGGAGGACCCTGCAGCATAGCTCTGCTCTGCTCTGTGTGGCCTCTGCTGACCCCTCACACTCTACCTGCACACCTGCCTGAGGGCCTTTGCACTGCTGTTGTTCCCTGTGCCTGGAATATTCTTGGCCAAGTGGGCACCACCCGTCAGGTCTTCGCTCAGGGGTCACCTGCAGCCCTCTTTGCTGATTGGAACCAACCCCTTCCCCTCCTCCCTGGCCTTCCTTGTACCCACAGAACTTGTTACTGCCGGGGCCACTCCAGGTGCTCTGCTCATCCGTCTCCTAGGTAGAAGGCTCCACGGGGCGATGCTCTTTTGGTGCCTTCTGTGGCCCCTGCACCCAGCCTAGCCCTCGACACATCTTTCAGCAGCCCCACTCTGTGTCGCTGCTGTCAGCCCCTTTCAGCCTCTCCTGTGGTTTCCCCGGTGTCCGGAAGTGCTCAGAATTAGCCCCCGGGAGCGGCCTCCAGTGTGGATGCTCTCACCCTTCAGGTCTCCAGGTTTCTGGTGGGGTCGAGCAGCATCCGTCTGTAGAAGCAGCCCGCTGATTGCCCGTCAGCCTTACCTTCCTCTTTCCCCACTCCCCATCCTGTGTGTTGTGCCCCCTAAATGAATTTCTTGGTTTCGGGAAGTCTTTGCCTTGAGGTCGGCTTCCGGATAAACACACATTCACACTGCATTCTCAGATAAATCTTGGAAATACTGTATGAACAATCCCATGTGTCAAACAGCGATTGCGAGACGTGCTCACCGAAGTGATGTACCTGTTACCTCCAAAGCCGAGCTGTCCGGTGTTACTTGGTATTAAACTAGCCATCTACTTGGTATTTTTGCAGTTAACAAATGCTGCCTCTGCAGAACCGCAAAAGCTGTGCCCCTCTCCCCACCCCGCACTCAAACCTGCATCACGAGCAACCCGGGAACGGGCCAGGGGCAGGCCGCCTTCCACAGTGTGGAGGATTCTTGGAAGACGGGGAAGTGCTTGGGAAACGGAGGCCGACAGTCAGGGCACTGCTTACGCGAGAGGACCCCCAGAAGGCTCCCCTGATGCGGGGTGCCCTTGTTTCCGGGAGGCGTCTATTCAGGCATGGCTTATGTCACCCGGGAGGCAAGCCACGCTGCCGCCTGGCCAGGGAGTCTGCACCCACTGCTCCTCGTCCCTGTGAGCACTTCCTTGTCATTTCTTCTCTGCTGGAGGCCCAGGACCCCAGCAGGAGAAGGCCAAGTGGAAAGAAGCCATTCAGCAATGAGGAACCCCAGAATTCGTGTCAAGGACGGAAACCAAGAAAGTATGTCATTTTCCATTGGCAAAAACAGCTACACTTTTTTATTAATGAGGTTTCTCTTCCGCAAATGACTTCTGTAGCAGCTGCCCCAAAGAAGCATCTCCTTGTTTCCTTACTAACCTTACACAAGGCAAACAGCGAACTCCCGTGGCAAGCAGGCTCACTGGTCTTGCCAGCAGCAGGCGGCAGTGAGGGCAGGACAGTCTGAAGGGAGAGGGTTCTGTGAACAGAGCCACACAGTGGAGTTCCTACCTCCATGGTGCTTAAGTCCTTCCTCCATGTCCATAGGTTTTTGTTTAGAATATAAAGAGAGGAATTTTGAAGACCATTTAATAGCTCTAGGTTTTTTTCCAGGTACAAACAGTAAAGTGGTGTGTCTTTAACTCAGAATGTTTTAGTGAGAGGAGAATGAAAAACCTGGGTTTGAAATGTTGCTGCTGCAGTACTTAATAAAGTACTGAATCCTAAAGTACTTGATAAGCACAGCCAGCCCTCGAGAATGGATTGAGTTTATAAGCCAAGGGTCCACTGTATTTAGGTAATTAAAAATACTTGAACCCAAGAGATCTAAAAGCGTGACCACACAAAACTTGTCCATGAATGTTCATAGCATCCTTATTCCTAATAAGCAAAACATGGAAACAACCTAAATATCCATCAAATGATGAATAAACAAAAGTGGGATAGCCCCAGGATGGAATATTATTGAGCCATGGGAAGGAATGAAGTTCTGCTCTGTCTGAAGTTCCGGTACAGACAGCGCGAGCCAGGTGGAAGCTGTATGTTCATTTCATGCCCAAAGAACTTCCGCAGACATTGTACTAAGTTCCAGAAGCCAGATTCAGAAGGCCACATACTGTACAACTGCATTTATATGAAATGTCTGGGAAATAGGCAAATCATTAGAGATAAAGTAGAGGTGCGGTTTCCAGGCATACAGAAGGAGATAATGGCACTAAAGAGCTTCTTTTGGGGTGATGGAAACGTTCTGGAATAGTGGTGCTGTTCACATGACTGAATATTCTCAGAACCACTGAGCTGTGGGCTGGTTGGGCCGGCCATGGTGGGCTCTGGGATGGCATCCAGGAGCATGCAGCTCTCTCACGGAGGCTGTGTGGCTGTGTTGTGCAGACCCCCAGGAGACACACTGTCACCCCCTCGGCACCCTAATGGTTGAACCTGTGCCACCAGGTTCAAGAAGAGAGGAATAAAGTCCACCTTCCAATGGGGAGCAGTGAGATTCTAGAAGGACGTCCAGACCAGGAATATTGCTCTGGCCATTTTGGAAAATAGAGTCTCACAGGCATCTTTGAACTTATACATACATAAATAAATAAAGATTTGTATATTACCAAGGAATTCGAAGAAGGGGAGAATGATCTACAACTTGCCAGGTAGTATGTATTTTTTCTAGAGCTTAGGTATCTTATTAGAAAAACAGCCATGTTAATATTTTGTGTATATTTATAGGAAAACAAAATTTTATATGCACCTTGCTTTTTCATTTGATGCTGTATCTGGGCGAATTTTCTCCATTTTATATGCAAGACTAACCACATTCTTTTAAATG